TTGCTGAGTTCCCGGGAAGGGGGATATGCTGTGAAGCCGACAGCTGCGTTGGAGGCAACTGGCTTGAGAATTCAATCCATTGCACCGGGTGGGACATTTTGAAAATGGCTGGAGGGGTTTGGAAACACAAGTCTGAGATGTCAGCTCCTCAGGAGATTTATTTTTAGATGTTGATTTGCTGCCCTAACTCTTAGGGTTCATCCAGGGAGGACCAGCTCCACAAGCTTTTCCCAAACTATACAAGGACTCTGCTTTCACAGCACAGAGAAATAGCACTGTCACATTGGCACATAATTGTCTACCTCTAATACATCAAATTCGATATGTAAGAAGGCTCCTGTGGCAATTTAAGCTAATAATTTTGCTCCTTTTTATTACTTTAAATCTTTGCATCTCAAAATATATACAAGTATCTAAATGTATTTTTTTTAAACTTCCTTACTTTATTTCTTGAGCAGATCGTCAACGCTTCCAACCGGCAATCGCTTATCGGTTTTAGGCAGCACATGAAAGAAGGGGGATAGAAATGTCATTGAAGACTGTGCAAGTAACAAATGTCTTCAACGGATTGGCACGCTCAGAGAATCATCTACATCAACTTGGAAATGTCTCAAATGCCTCTAATCATCCCAAGGACATACTTTAGTCTGTTTATGGCGGCCTTGACTCAGTGTCACAACTCCCCCCCAAAACAAACAATGCTCCTTCAAGAAAACACTCCGTTATGACTCTGAGCAGAAATGTAAAGGCAAAGAAAAGTGCTGAGACTAGATTTGAAGAGCCATAATTGTTTCTGTAGTACAGAAAACGTAGGAAGGAAACTCCAGATGAGGAACTGCATAAAAAAAGACCAACTGGGCGATCCCAAGCCCAAAAGTGGACATAAAAAATAGAATATTGGATATGGGTTCAGCGAGGTAGTGTGCATGGAGGTCAGCCAAGGAGAGAGCTGAAAAACAACTGGTCTGTGTAGAGCTGGAATTCACAGATGAAAATTAGAATGGACCAAAGGACATTTCTTCCAAAAAAGGGAAGAATTCTAAAAGTAACGTTCCAGGTCCCCCGAACGCTGGAAGGAAGCAAGGAAGGACAGGAGGCAGATGTCGAGGGACAAACAGCCTGATACACGGTACAAGACCCAGATAAGGCACATTCTGCACGAGGCTGACGCACAACGGGTGCGGAGGGTGGGATGAAAGCGAGCACTCGGACTACGAGAGCGGGACCACTGCACTGAGCATTTACTCAACATGGAGCTTTCGCTACGAATGAGGTGCTCAGGTCTACCTAGGCAAATGCAATTTGAAGACCGAGACGAGGATTAATCAAATTCTTCAAGCACTTGTGACTTTGCAGGAAAATAGTTTAGCGAGGAAATCGGAAAGTCAGTGGAGGCAAGAAGACAATAGCTGAAAGTCAGAGATCAGAAATCCCGTCATTTCATCTGCAGAAGAGAACCATATTGGACTATGTCATTCAAAAGGACAAAAATACGGAGCCACAAAGGAAAGGATGTACAGTATAATGAAAGAAACTGGAAAAGAAAACAGATGAATAACAGTTTGGTCTTCCTGGAAGATGTGTCACTGACCTCAGTACAAAGGCAAATGGCTAAAATGTGACATACTCAATAAATTCAAGTCAGCCTACATGACCTCATGTTCAACATGAAACAATAACTGGAATTTAGAGACATGGAAAGCCAAATTAAATAAAGCAGTTTAAAAATTATAGTGACGGTTATTCCCCATTTAAACAAACTATCAAAGGAAATAGCAAAAACCTCACTTGACATTTTAATATACAGACTAGAAATCTTTCTGAAAGATTTACTTAAGTCAAAACACAGTATCAGGTTTAATGAAGAAGCGTATCACTTTTAACGGCTTTACTAAGTAGTCAGACAAAATGATCTAATGTTTCTCTCTGCCCTTAACACCGATGACTGGTTTTTTTTGCTTTTTTCCTTTTTTTTTTTTTTTTTTTCCAATTTACAAAAGGTAGAAAGGTTGGAGGGAACTGAATAAAGGAAATACTGGCAGTGCTGCCTTCTCCTTCAAGCAGAACAACTGACATTATTGAAGCATCTACTGAGATTAAACAAGGGGAGAAGAAAACCCTTCGGTCTGAGGCGAGGAATAAGCTGGCAACAGCCGGACTGCAGCAGTCACAGTCATTTGGAAAGCCAGCCTTAATCATTCGAGGTGGAAGGCTGGACAAGCAAATAATAGGGCATTTTCTCAAAAAAACATACTAAAGGAAAAAGCCTTGAGGCTTGTTATAAAGGAAGCTGAAGTGTTTTACCCTGAATGGAAAAGGCCTCTAGTTGTTGGTTTGGTAGCAACCTTGTATGACCTTTAAACAGTGTTCTCACATTTGGGATTGTAAAAACAAGTTATTAAAAAAAAAAAAAAATTCAACAAAACCCCAAACACAAAACCAAAACAAGAAACCCAACCCAAGCTGCAGGGACTTCAGGACTGACTCCCAGTCACCCCAACTGGAAACCTCGCTGCTGATAATGATCT